TGTGTGTGTGTTTTGTGTGGGGTGTGTGTAACAAAGTTGTCCTTTGTAGCTTCTCTATCCTTCCTCAACTTGGAAAGGGAATGCCCATTTCATGCTCTCTCCATCATCTGGGCTGTCTCGTCCATGCTCTTCATCTCCACAGTTGAGTAGATCTTCCAACACTGCTTCATGTCTAGTCAATCACAATCACCCTGGTCAACCATTGGAGATCTGGAGACTTTGCCATTGGTCTGGTTTCCTTAGCAGCCCCCACCCCAAGACCCTCACCAAGGCATAGCGGATCTTGGCCAGGCTGATCAGCTCTTGGTCGGTTGGTGAACACATGTTCAAGCCGATGGGAAGCATCTTCTTCAGCGTAGCCACGATGAGGGACGTGTGGACGGAATAGCGGTCCCCTCGGCGTTTCTTCTTGTGCCGTTCCTGGTCCGAGCCACCTGACTGGGGAGAGGAAGAGCCAAGTCAGTTTAGTGGGAAAGAGAGGTTGTGCCACTCAGGTTGTCCCCTGGCATGCCAACAGCTCGAACGGGCAAAAGCTTTTAATGACCAAGCACAGCTTCGGACATGGGGATTCCATTGACCTGGTGGGAAAGCTGGACCAGGTCCTCTCTCAAGAGAAGATGGGAGAGAAGAAGCTGTAAAGTCTAGGGCAGGGATGTCCAACCTTGTCCACTTGAAGACCTGTGGACTTCAACTCCCAGAATTCCCCAGCCAGCATGCATGCTGAAGTTAAAGTCCACAGCTCTTCGAGTGGACAAGGTTGGACACCTACGATTTTAAGTGTGGCGAAAGTGACGATCCAGAGACTTGTTGCCTCCAATACTCAGGGATCTGGGATCGATCAGTGTTGCTTCCAAGACGGTCTGTCAGAAGCGCGTGGATCAAAATCTCATTCCATGCATTCGCTTTTTGATCCATCAACCCAGAGACAGAGAGAAGGACTTTGACCGGACTTCAGAAGAGACGATGCACATGCAGAGGTTATGCCTGGATAGGGGAAGGGTCTTCTGGGAATGAGAAGGGGGAGGGGGTGTTAGCCAGTGTAGAGAGGGACCATTTGGAAGAAATGGAGAAGAGATACGGAGCTGCAGATCTAGGAACGTGGAATTAAAACAAGTAAGACAGAGGCAGTTGCTTGGGTTAGGTAAAGGGAATTATGGGACATTTTAGCGGGGTCTGTGGAAGTGCTCATGTCAAGTAGTCAAGGGTATCTGCGGTCAGAAAAGTCAAGATGGCGGCCGCCATGATGTGATCCAAGCTCTGCCTGTTTCTTTTTTAAGGGATGCATCTAAAGCAGCGGTTGGATCACATCCTAATGGCCATCGAGTTAATCTGTTTTTTGACCACATCCGACAGCAGGACTGGGCAATTAATTTTCCCCAAGGACCACATGAAAAATTGGGACTGTTGCGGAGGCCGAGCCAAGAATTCTATGAGGGTGTGTAGGCAGGCAGGCACACACCTATATAAACTGGAAAAAAAAATAGCAATCGCCTTCAAAATAAAATAAAAAGCACGTTGACTGGAACAGCTGAAGAGCCCTGAGGTGGCCTGAGGGCTGTAAAATGCCCAGGTCTGTAGTTGGAAAGGAGATTCTGAACTTATATTTCGTAGACCAGCCATCTCCAACCTTTCTGGCTCGGCGGATCTGACAGTGGCGGGATGGGGGGCGGGGATAGGTTTGGGCATTAGCTCACCCAACACTTCTGTGACCCAGTTCTGAACGGGCCACAGTCTGGCATTGGGCTGTGTACCAATAGGGACCCCCTGTTGTTGTAGTCAACAGGAGGAAAAATAATCAGATTTCTGAGACACGCCGTGGTGGGATTCAAATAATTTTAACAACCGGTTCTCTGTCCTAAGGATTTCTTCCAACAACCAGTTCTCTTGAACCAGTGCGAACCGGCTGAATCCCACTGGAGACACCTGGACTAAATTTTCAAAACAGGCAGGAGTGGTTTGGCGTGGCAGGGAGAGGCCCTCTCCCTCCCTCCCTGAGATCTTAGTGAAATGAATTAATTCAGATCAATCAAGACGCCAAGACGCCGTTCCAGCCTCTTTGCCCCACTTAACTGTCAGCCTCGCAAAACAGCCTCGCTCAACCAAACACGGTTGGCAGCCGGGAGACGAAGGGGCACAGACAGGCAACCTCTTCCTCCCTCCCTCCACTGGAGAGTGACAGGGCAGGATGACGGGCTCTGGGGCAGTACAGGGAGAAGAAGAGGGCCAAGAAGGTGGATTGGGATTAGGAGAAGGACTCCCGAGGCATGCTGGGAATTAAGGGATGTCTTTTTTTTTTTTTTAGTAATGGAGACTCCGGGACCAATCAGTTAGTTAGAAGGAAGAGGAGGAGGAAGAGGACATGCTGTGGCATGTCAGAACTATTCTAGAGCATGGCTGCCCACTTCAACGTGGCGTGAGTCCCACTAACTGGGTGATTTGACAGGCAGAAGTTGCCACCCATTGCATGTCTGTTGCGTTGCGGCCAGACCTGCAAAAAAGCTACTGCGCTTTTGTCATCGTCCATGCAGCCGCAGCCCCTTCCCTTCCTCCCGGGTCCCGATTGACTTTGCAACGACACCACCCCCACCCCGCCTCACCCCACTTCTAAACAGGGAGGGAGCGAAGGGTTGCGGCAGAGATATCCCATTGCTCTATCCATGCTGCCTTGACCCTTTGGGCCAGTGGAACAGCTGTGCTTTTGCTAACCTGGCTTTCTTCAGACTAAACCCACATGTGGAGATGAGGAGAAAAGGGAGAGAAGACAGGAGAAAGAGAAGGTTAGAGGAGGCGTCATCCCCGCCTTGCCGTTACTCAGAGGAAGGACTCAAAGCAAGAATCATCTGTCCAGATCTTGATGGATCTAAGATCCTATGAACTCTTCCATCATCCAGATGTTGGTGTCTTCCTCCCCACCCCGCAAGCAATATCTGGTCAATCGATCCGAAGGGAATACTTGTAGCTCAGGGTTGAATTGGGAAGTCCTTCATGCTCTCTGAGTTTGGACGTTTTTTTTGCAGACGTTTCATCGCCCAACTAGGGAACATCATCAGTGCTAGGAGGAGGGGGGTTTATAAGCAGAGAGCAAACCCCACTCCCTACTAGCATTGATGCAGAGGTGGTATTCAGCAGGTTCTGACCGGTTCTGGAGAACCAGGAGCGGAACTTTTGAGTACTTTGGAGAACCGGCAAATACCACTTTCAACTGGAGTTTTTACAGTATCCTTCCCCTGCCACACCCACCAAGCCACGCCCACACAGAACTGGTAGTTAATAATTTGAATCCCACCACCGCGCTTGATGATGTTACCTATTCAGGTAACGAAATGTCTGCAAGAAAAGAACCAAGCTCAGAGAGCACCAAGGGCCTGTACAATGGATCCAATGTATCAGAAATGATCAAACAGGAGGATTAATTTATCACCGTATCTTGCCCTTTTTTTTTTCCTTCCCAAAGGTAGAAAGGGGAGGAAAACCTCCATGTTTTTACTTCTCGTTAGTTGCAAGAGGATGGAGAACAGGCAAATGAGATTGATGGGAAATTCCTTGACTAAGGACAGTTTGGCAAATGATGCCGATGGACATAACCAGTAGTGGTATGCTACTGGTTCGGACCGGTTCTTCCGAACCGGTAGTAAAAACAAACAAAACAAATCAGCAGGCCTCAGCTGGTGTGTGGAAAGCTGCGCGTGTGTTAGGTGCGTGTGCAATCACCAAACCAGTAGTGGAACACGTAGGATCCCACTGCTGGATGTTAACTGGTGTCCTGCAGGCCACTTGCACGTTAACGCTGTCACACAAATGAAGTAAATCCCCACATTTATTATACGCTCTAGTTTGAGTAGGGATGCCTGAATTCCAGACATATTTTCCCACCATTTGGGGCGTTAAAAAGGAGATTTTGTTCTGTTCTCTGACTCCGTGAAGAAACTACATAAGAGAAGATCTGTAGGATTACCCCCTGCAAGTTAAATGTTTAGAAAATGAGTTGCTAAGCCAAGGCCACTTAGTAAGTTGAAGTCCTCCCCTGAAACCTGGAACCCTGCAGCCCTCGGACACATCCTGTCCACCTGGAGCTCAGCAAACGGATTGGGTCAAAGACCTTTCCCCTGCTGAGACGGTATCGTGGCTTCAAGGATGGCAAGAGATGGTAAGGGGGACCTACCCACTACCTTCTTCCCCTGCTGGAGGAGGAGGAGACCCCAGCAAAGTCTCACCTTGGACATTTTGCTTTTGCTGTCGGCTGTCAGGAAGGACATGTTGTTGATTTCGTTCTGAACGACAAAGTTCTGCTCTTCTCGCTTAAAATTCTGTAGGAGGAAGAAGAATCAGATGTAGGATTTCTGCAGGGGGTTCGCATGGGGTTCGGGAAGAACCCCTAGCTAAGATTCTGTGCATTTCGGAGAAACCCCCAATCCCATTCCTGGCTGGCCCTGCCCACCCCAACCCGCCCCTCTCAGGAATCCCCATGCGGCCTGTTTTGGATGCAGGTAAGTGCAAAACACACATGGAGACGGTGAAAAACGGGCCTCCTGGAAATTCAGGAAGTCTGGAAATGGGCCCATTTTCGGCTTCCAGAGAGCCTCCGGAGCCCGGGGAGGCTGTTTCCACCTTCCCGGAGACTTGGGGAAAGCCTCCGGAGCCCCCTGCCATGGTGCAGGAGGCCAACTAGGCCATGGCCACCATGGCCACGCCCACCCAGTAACCAAGCAAAGCCCCCATTGCTATAATTTTTGAATCCCACCCCTGGTTCCACCCAACGGACGCAGGCCACGTTACTTACAGCAGAGTTTTCCAACCTTGGTAACTCTATGACTTGCGGACTTCAACTCACAGAATTCTTCAGCCAACATGGCTGGCTAAGGAATTTTGGGAGTTGAAATCCACAAGTCATAAAATTGCAAAGGTTAGAGACCCCCTGATCTACAGAACTACCTTTGTGGCACTGCATTGGTCTGTCCCACCTGGATAGGCGGGGAAGGTATGTTGCAGGACCTGTCATTTAATGAATCCTGAGCAGCAGGGTCCAGGAAGAGAGAGTCTATTCTGCCGTTGCCCCCGCGCTGCGGAATATTCTCCCCCCTGGAGGTGGAGGCAGGGCCCCAAACACCCTCCTGGCCTTCCCAAAAGGAGCTACATTAAGAATACTTCTGCACGGATGAATCCTAGCATTCAAAAGACAACGAGCAGGTTTTCTCGCTCTGTTCCTCCTCCAGCGTTTTCAGCGGAAAGACAACTTGGAAATTGAACCCACCAGCCTGCCCCTCTGCTATCCCCCATAAAAAGCTCACTCACGTGGGACTTGGACCAATAAATAAAGATTTCCCCAATCATCCGGAACAGCTCCTCAGCATCCAAGTTGGGCTCAGTCAACCAGTGGGCCCTACAGATGCAAAAGGAATGGTTGGTTGAGTGTCTTCTTCTATCCTGTTCCTCTGAAAATACGACCTACCCTGAAAGTAAGTCCTAGCTTGGCTTCTACTCATCCCCAATATAAGCCCTATCCCCCAAAATAAGTCCTACTTAAGATCCTGCCCACTCCAGAGTGGATGGGTAAAAATTAAGCTAGGGTGGGGATAGGGGGTGGTGGAGTTGCCCTACTACTTACCTTTGGACAGTTGTAGCCAGGCCTTGCACACCCCGACACCTGCCTTGCCGGCCCATTTTTTTCTGCAGCTGGCAAGGCTGGCAAGGCTTTCCTGAAGGTCTCTGTAGCTGATAAGAAAGTTCTGGATCGATCCAGAGCTCTGTTATTGGCTGCAGAGGCCTTCAGGAAAGCCTTGCCGGACGCAGAAGAAGTTCCTGGAGGCCTCTGACCGCGAAAAGGAGGATGGGGGTGACGCACGCAAGTGAGGTTAGTCAGTGGATGACATCCCCCCAAAATAACACCTGGTGCTTTTTTGTGGCAAAAAAATAAAAATAAAAGACAGGGTCTTATTTTTGGGAAACACAGTACGTCCCACAGTTCACATGATCTACTCTGCAGAAACTCAGCACTGAGGCCCACCCTATCCACAAGAGAGAATATTTGTAGCACAGGGATGAACTGTGGGGTCCTTCATGCTCTCTGTTTCCTTGCAGATGTTTCTTTACCCAACTAGGGAACACCATCGGTGCAAGAAGGGAGTGGAGTTTGCGAAGTAGAAGGGTGGAGGGCTATGGGATCCTTGGCACTCTCTGCGGTTTGTAGTTTTCTTGCAAACATTTCACGACCCAACTAGGTAAGATTTTCAGTGCTAAGGGGGAGTTGGGACTGCTCTCTATTTGAGTGAGCCAACTCCCCTCCCTTCTAGCATTGATGACGTTTTGATCTTCTCTTTTGCACTTTCTATCTCTTCCAAACAATCCTGCCTGGATTTCTTTTAATATAGACAGGGACAGCGAACTATCCAAAACAGGTTTTCAAGGTAACAGCATTTATTTATTGATATATAACCCACCTCTTTAATTTTTACAAATAACTCAAGGCAGTGAACATATCCAACACACCTTCCTCCTCCTATTTTCTCCACAACAACCTTTTGAGGTGGGTTGGGGAGGGAGAGAGGGGGGAGGACTAGGTGGGACTAGAACTCACTGTCTCCTAGTGATGGGTCCGAAGTCATCCAATTGGATTTTGTGCCTAAAGCAGGACTAGAACTCCCCGTCTCCTGGTGATTGGCCTGACGTCACTCAGCTGGCTTTCATGGCTAAGGCGGGACTCGAACTCACAGTCTCTTGCTCTCTAGTCTGGTGTCTTAACCCTGAGACCAAACTGGCTCTCTTGAAATCCTTGTGCTACGTTTCCTAACTACACGCACCTGTCATTACCTTGCAAGTTGCAATCTGCACCTTACGCGCGCGTGCATGGATTTGGTTCACCAACTGCGGATTACCTGTTGTTGTCCACATAGCGGATCAGCAACGGGTAGAGGGCGTAGAGGTCACGACACAGCACGGAAAACTCATCCCGGATGAGTAGCTCCGTGTCCTCCGATTCGGACTTGACCTCCAGCCGCAGCTGTTCCTCTTCCGCCACGACTTTCCCGGACCGCTTCTTCAGCTTCTCCATGGTGGGGATGAAGTGGGAGCGGAGCAGTTCGGGCTTGGCCTTGCTGACAATGGGCTGTGCAAAGACTGCGCAAGGAAGAGCCTCCTCAGTCGGGAGCAGGCTACCTTTCT